ATGGGGAGAAGACCAGAGAACAGAGGTGAGGCAGACACTCCTCCCTGTCCTGTCCGCAGACTTCTTCCTCCCAGCGGGAGAGGAGGTCAGAACATAGGTGAGGCTGGTCTGTTCAGCTCAACCATCCAGCCCTTATAGGAATTTGCGGGTTCTTCTCTGGAGGAGCAGAGCGTCACTGGAGAAAAACAGCCATGCGGACTGGTCTCATCTTACACACACGTGCCCAGCGGGAATTTTAAGCTGCCGGGTCCAGGACTCGAACCACGGCTTGTTCATGACAAGCCTTGCTATGATATTGGAGGGCTTGGTGCCGTAAGACAAGAAAAATAAGGCATGAAGACTGGAAAGGAAAAATTTAAATCTGTAAGTAACAGGATTACGTATTTAAAAAATCCAGAAGAGGTGGTTAAGGTGTTGGACTCCCACATGGTTGATCATGGTTTGCGTCTCAGACCCATGGCTTGAGAATCACACTGGGTGTGTGCATCCGTCCCCAAAATCCCAGTAGGAGAATGGAGAAGGGACTGTAGTGTGGCCATCCCCACTGGGGGCTGATTTCTCATTTTCCCTCTGTCTCTCTGGTGAGCACACAAGTGCTATAGGAAAAAAAATCCAAAAGAACTTGCAGATAATTTGTAAGAACAAATTAAGAAATCATTGGACACAGGTTAATATAGAGACCACCCATAACTTCTATTTATCAACGGGAAACTGTTTTTAAATTGTAAAATTGATGTCATTGCAATAGCATCAGGTAATACCAAATGCTGAGGGCTAAATCTACTGAGAGATGTACAGGCCACGTGCACGCGTGTGTGTGTGGGCGCACACACACACACACACAAACATTACTGAAAGAACTAGACAAATGGAATAAAAAAAACTAAGTTCAAAGATTACAAGATTCAATACTATAAAGGTGCTAGTTTTCTCCCAACTAATAATAGGGATATAACGCATTGCCAGTCAAAATCCCAGTCGATCGTGAGATCTTCAGAAAGCTCATGGAAAATGTGTATTATTTAAAAACTAGGTTGGCTCCGTGGCCTGATAGTCAAGGCATCAGATCTCACTTGGCCAACCCTGTGGCTCAAGTCCAGGACTCAGCAGCTTGAGAAGCATGTCAGCCTAAAATCCCCAAAGGAGGGACAGGTGGAGGAGGGACTTCAGTGTGACCATTTCTCCTGGGGTCTCTCTCAGCCTCCTGGGTTTCTTTTCTTTCTTTTTTTTTCGGGGGGGGGGGGAGGTTTTTGCTATAGGGGACATGCACTCGCCAGACAGAGAGACAGAAAGCGAGAAATCACCCCCCAGGGGTGATGGCCACGCCACAATCCCTTCTCCTCCATTCTCCTCTTGGGATCCTGGGCATGCACGCACATGCCCCGTGTCAGTTTTAAGCTACTGGGTCCAGGATTCAAACCACAGTTGACTACATGGGAGTCCAGTGACTTAACCATTATGCCACCTGCTGGTCCCAAGTACTGTACTTCTAATAGTGCTGTTCTTCCATGAAAACAACACAAATCATCATTTACTTGGAGCCTGTATTTTTTGGGGACAGATCAGGCAGGGGCCCTTCCCTGGCCCTTCACCCTGGAGCTGCCTTCTGCATGTGTAGCTTGCGGTCCCTGTCCTATAGACACGAACACAGCACCCTTAGGCACCCATATCTGACTCAGACATTTCTTTTTCTTTTTAAAGAATTATTTTTTATTTAACTTTATTTTTATTTTTTAGACTAGTGAGGGACAGAGAGAAAGTGAGAAAGAAGTTGCCAGGTCCAAGACTCTAAACACGGTCGGCCATGTGGGAATCCAAGGCCCTTAACCATCATGCCACCTTCTGGCCCCCTGACCCAGAGGTTAGCCCAAACCCTCCTCACTGCTCCCCGAGATGTCCTGAGTTTTTCTTCAGTCCCACCCAAACGTTCCCTTTGGGGTGACTTAGTGGTCTCTGTGTCACTGTCCCTTTGTTCCCGTCTGGTCACATCCCACGTCCACCATTCTTCCGGGCAGCCACAGGTGCTGTTCCCTAAGACACCCCCTCCTTAAGGAGCCCTGGCTAACAGTAACCTCTCTTTGTGGTTGTACTTGAGTCGTGAGACCATCCTCGGGTGTTTGCCCAGGGGCTCCAGGGGTCCAGCATTCGTGTCATGCTGCCGGCTAGAGCTGGCCCTTCAGCCAACCCTGGAGGTAGCAGGGCTGCCCTGGGCTGTGCTTGGTCATTCCGCGTGCCAACACTGGGACAGATGGCACAGGGCAGCCCTGTTTCCCCACAGGAGCACAGCAAGCCACTGAGGCTGTGAAGCGTCCGCCTCAGCTTCCTGGGGACCTGTGCTTTCTGCCGAGTTACACTTTCTAGAAGAATGGTCCCCTGCCTTTGGAAGCCGTGAGCGGGACAGCGCTACCTGTCGGCATCACTGACTCTGGGTGTGGCAGGGGAGGCCGAATGACTCCGGGGTGAGTGACCAGGTAGTGCCCCACAGAGCATTACTGGGTCCCCCACCCCCTCAGGTCCCAGTGAGCCAGCGCTTGCCCCTCTGAAAGCCAGTGGTTATGGAGGGTTGCCTCCCCCGCCTGTGTGCCACTCGCCTGAGCTTCCCATCAAATGTGCCTGTTTCCTGAGAACTTTTCCGGGGGCCCCATGCTTAGCCCTGATCTCCCTGTGTGGCTTGATACACATACATATATATAACTTTTTTTTTTTTTTTGGAGAGATTTTCACTGTAGGGCGCGTGCGCTCGCCAGACAGACAGAGACATAGAGACAGAAAGCGAGAAATCACCCCCCAGGGGGGATGGTCACGCCGCAATCCCTTCTCCTCCATTCTCCTCTCGGGATCTTGGGCACGCACGCACACGCGCCCGGCGTGAGTTTTAAGCCACCGGGTCCAGGACGTGAACCGCGGTCGACTACGTGGGAGTCCAGTGACATAGCCATTACGCTAACTGCTGGTTCCCCATATATATAACTTTTTAAAACATTGAGGAAGGGACTGACAGATGGCAGGGTGGTTAAGGGTGCTGGACTCCCACATGGCCGACCACGGTTCAAGTCCCAAACCTGGTGGCTTGCTTTCTCTTTTCCTCCCTCTCTGTCTCTTTCTGTCCTTCTCTGATCAAATTAAAATAATTAAATTTTAAAAGTTCTGTAAAAAGAAAAAAAATTTTTCAAAATTGAGAAAAACTGGGGGCCACCAGGTGGCATGGTGGTTAAAGTACTGGATTCCCAACCACAGTTCTAGTCCTGGACCTGATGGCTTGAAAATCACACCAGAAGCATGTGCATGCATGCCCAAAATCCCAGAGGAGAATGGAGGGAAAGGACAGTAGCCATCTCCTCCCGGGGTGATTTCTCACTTTCCTTCCCTCCATCTCTCTGGAAAATGCACACACCCTATGGCAGAAACCTAAAGAAAAAAAAATTAAGAAAAATTTTCTATTTATTTCTCTAATGAGCAAGAGAGACAGACAGCACCCCCAACAGGTCTGGAAGCCACAATCCACTCCCAGCTCAGCCAGCCCCAGGTCATGGGCAAGTGTGTGCTCCAGGGAGGTCTCCAGACTGGAACCAAGAACCTTCCTACGTGGACTTGCCTCGCAGTGCGGTACTCCACTGCCAGGCCACTGTAGGGCCCCTGCGTTATGTTCTTGTCCGGAAAATAAAGCCTCCTGCCTCCGGCATCCTGGTGAGAAAGGAGACACCGTGTGCGGGAGTCACAGGTGACTGAAGTGAGCCTGAAGGACCTGTGGGACCGGCTAGTGCAGGGAGCCTTGGGAGAGGACGAAGGAGAGCGGGAAAAAGCACTTCTGCCTGGGGCTTTCTGCCTCCCCCTACTCAGGTGAGAGCCTGCTGGCTAAACTGTGAGTCCACACAGAGAATCAAGTGTTCGCCAAACTCCGGCTTCTGATTCCTCTAAAGGCAGTGCAAGCCCAGCCCCACCCTTGTTCCCTTTCTGCCCACCACAGTCACCAAACCTGTTCAGGCTGCAGAATGAGGGGCTCTTGCATCAGCTCTGGTAGCAGGCCAGAGGGGCTCTTGCATCAGCAGGACCAGCAGGTGGCGTGGTGACTAAGGTGGGTGGATCCTACATGGCTGACCGTTGGTTGGAGGCCTGGACCAGCAGCCTGAAGATACCAGGCACAAGTGCATGTGTGCCCAAAATCCCAAGAGGAGAGTGGAGGAGAAGGGACTGCAGTGTGGCCACTGCCCCGCAAGGTGCTTTCTCTCTCTGGGAAGTGCACACACACTATAACAAATAATTTGAAAAAAAGTCGGGGAACCAGCAGTTAGCATAATGGCTATGTCGCTGGACTCCCACGTAGTCGACTGCGGTTCGTGTCCTGGACCCGGTGGCTTAAACTCACGCCGGGCACGTGTGCGTGCGTGCCCAAGATCCTGAGAGGAGAATGGAGGAGAAGGGATTACGGCGTGACCATCCCCCCTGGGGGGTGATTTCTCGCTTTCTGTCTCTATGTCTCTCTCTGTCTGGCGAGCGCATGCGCCCTACAGTGAAAATCTCTCAAAAAAAAAAAAAAAAAAGTCTAGGTCTACCTTGAAGACCTGGGGTTCTGTTCCCAGAGTGACCTGGATGAGCTGGGCATGTAATACCTGGGATTTGAGACCCCATTCAGGGTGCCTGTCTCTTTCTCTGTCTCATGAAAGAAAAAATAAATAAATAAGAGGAGTCTTGCTGGATTCAGTCACAACCAGAGAGCCAGGACTATACAGGGCCCAGGCCAGCACAGGGCCTGCTTACCTGGAGAACAGCTATGAAGGCTGGGGTTTCAGCAGGGAAGAGGGACAGCACTGAATGCCGA